TGATATATATTCTTTTTCTGTCCAAATGTGAATATAGCTGTATCCCAAAAGTCTTAATATGTATTTTTTGCATTCTTTCAATTTAAATATGCCTTTCAATGTAATTTTTTATTTAAGCCATATCTTATTTAGAAATGTATAGTTTAATTTCTAAACATTTGAATTTTTCTTGTATATCTTATATTTGTATATAATATAAACATAATTAGTATTCTATTTATTTTTAAATGGAGCCCACTGTGTTTAGGAAACATAATTTTATGTTTTCTTTCTTGAAAACTTCTTTGGACTTACACATTATTTAAGACCTTTTTTTTTATTATGGTGCATTTGTCCATTATTGCATCATTTTTGCTGTATATATTTTGAGGCTATATTAGTTGAAAAAAATTGAATTGCTACAACTTGTTTTATTGACCCTTTAGATCCTTTAGAAATATTCTAATATTCTTTTTTATCTCTAATAACTTCTTTTTTTAGAATTACTTTTTCTCAATTTAATATTGTTTTATCTACTATATTTCTATTAGCATAATATACATTTTTCCATTCTATTACTTTCAATAATTCTCTGATTATACATATTTAAGGTATCTACTAAGCAGTCTGTAGTTGCCTTTAAAAAAATCCAGTCTAATAACTTAGTTTTTAAACTAGACTATGTAGACTATTAAATTAAGAATAATTGGTGATATGTTTGGATATTTGTCTCATTTTAGTATTTGCTTTACTATATTTTCTACTCATTCTTTTAGTTCTTTACTTCTTTTGCATTATTTTTAGCTTTCATTATTTTCCTTTTATTATTTTGCTAATTATGTATTATTCTTCTTATAGTAGTCAAGACATCATAAGAGTATATATGGTTTGTTAGAGTCAAATTAAATTAGTAGTTTTGCCACTTTCTGGATAATTCAAGGACCTAAGAGTACTTTAACTCCATTAACTTTCTTCCAAACCTCTGTTATTGTTGTCATATATTCTGGTGCTACACAAATTTTACAATCTAATGGATGTATTTTATGTATATACTTAATATCATATTATCAGAATCTCTTTGTATTTTCCTGCATTTTTTCTTTCTTCAGAGATCATTTCTTTCCTCAAAAGAATTCTTTTACTGTGGGTCTGATGGAAATGAATCTTGTTCTTTTTGTTTGTTTGTTTAAAAATGTCTTTAATTCACCTTTATTTAAAAAAATGAATAGGGAGGAGCTCTCTATTTTTATGCAGGAAAAGATCTTAAGAATATATTGTTACATGAAAAAAATCAAGTACAGAACAGTGAATATAGTATGCTACCTTCTGTGAAGAAAGAAATACAGAGATATGCATTTACAATTATTTGTATTTTCATGAAGAACACTAGATATAAGCAAGAAAGAAATTAAAATGGTAGCCTAAAGATAGCCCAAAGGAATGGGGTAGAAATAGACGTAGATGAAGGCAGGGGTAGAAGCAAGCAAGTTTCTCCAGCATATTCTCTTCATATTGTTTTGCTTTCCAAATCATGTAATTACACCACAAATGCAACAAATAAAGTTTAATTAAAAAAAATACAGTAAGATTCAGAACCAAAGACATAAATTGTGAAATCTCTGACAAACAAATGATAATGAAAGTCAAGGAAGAGGGGGTAGCATGGAGTACTTTGTAGCAGGCCAATCATCCTATAGAGGGCAACTAAAAAAACTGGGTTAAAGGATAAAAACTATGTATTTAAAGGGAGAAAAAATGACAGAGAACTAGAGGGATTAAAATTCTAGAGAGAGCAGAAGTTTTTAGAGGTGAGCTGGAGATCTAAAGCTGTCCCTGAGGTTCTTGCCAATTCTTGATGAAGGCCAGCAGCTGACAGTCTGGACTAGGTCCAGGTAGGGAGTCACTGCTGGGACAAGCAAACTGGTAGAGTTTTTGGTGATCACGGGACTAAGAGTGACAGAATTATTTTTTTCTCTGGAGAAATTAGTTAAAATCTGAGATGTGTGAGGCTGAAGTCTAACAGAAAACTACCATGACTCATCTGTATCTCTCCATGAAGATGCTTATTAATAAAAATAATATAAAATAATATAAAATAAAATGGTAAAATACATCAGAAATTTTAAAATGTAAGTGGATTAAAATCAGATTTACAAGTTTAACCAAATAAATAAATAATAGTTGAAATAAAGGAAAACAAGAAAATAACTTAAAAGAAAAATTAGTTCTTCATTTCTTTCCCTTCCGTCCCACATTTAAAGAATAATGTTTATGTCTTCTCAGCTGTGATAGTTGCCAGAGATTCAAGCAAGAAGGTAGATGAGAACTTTAAAGAAAAATGTAGAATAAAAGAGAGATAAAAATATCCAGTTCCCTGCTGCACTGGTAGCCATTGGAGGGTGGCAAAAAAAGCAGCAAAAAATAAAATAAAATAAATTTAAAAAGTGTGTTTTTACTAGTAAGCAGTTAGAATATTAAAACACATTGCAAAGAAAATGCAGGGAAATGAAATGAGAAAATTATACGACAATCTAACTCAGTCCAAGGATTAGACAGGGTGTTCTGGAAGAACTGACCTTTAAGCTGAGCCTTAAATGTTAGGGGCTGAGTATTTCACACAGTGGCAACATAGGCAAAGAGTCTAAGTGGGGGAAGCAGCTTCATAAGATTGTTGTGTCATCAAATGTCATGAACAGGGAGGGTGATAAGGGCAAAAATGTGGTGTGAGGTGGTATGTAATGAGACTGATGTGATCAAGCTGACTTTTGTAAAGTTTTCTGCAATTCTAGATGTTACCATAAGAACAAGGAGAAGCTGTTGAAAGATCCTAGTGGGGCAGTGAAATGATCAGAATTTCATAGTTAAAAAAAAAATCACTTTGGCTGTTCCATGTAAAGTAGACTGAAAGGATAAGGATGGTTGTTGGGAGATACATTAAGAAGTCATTTCTTTTTTTTAAGGGGTAAGATACAGCCTTGGCATAGGCCAGTAGTCTTAGAGATAATTTTTTTTTTTAATCAGAGAAAGATATGAAAAAGCTGTATTTTTTTTTTAAATCACAGTATTTGGTTATTGAGTCTGGTCAGTGAGGAAAAGGGGTATCAAGAATGCCTCTTCACATTTTGGGCTTGGACATTGCATGATGGTGGATGACAGTTCCACTTCTTGTGATAGGCAACACTAGGGGAAGATCAGCTTTTGTGCAAAACAGTAACTTAAGTCTAGAACTGATGGCTTTTAAGAAAGATACGGAGTGAAAATATAAATTTAGAAGTCATAAGAGATAATAGAAGTTGCTTTTTTACATTTTGGAAGAGTACTAATGAATGTTTTCTTTATTCCATGAAATTCTGAAATCATTTTATCCTAGCCTTACTTCATTAGATGATGTACAAAAAAATTCTCTTCATTGGTAAAAGATACTCATTTTCCATTAAATATTTTTAATACATATCTATTATTCATTTTGTGCTGTTCATTTAAGTGATTATGGAAAATCCTAGGGATCATTGCTCTTTTCATCTTGTTTTATATATATCAGAAAGATGGTTAATCAAACTGAAGATACATAAATACATCTTAATGATTATACTTGAGCTTTGGTCAACTCTATCTATGCTTCCGAAAGCAACGATAAGCCACGTAAGAAAACTACCTATGCTAAATGAAGAAGAACACACAATTAAAGTTAGGGTTATTATTCATATTTCCACATTATACCAAGACCTATAAAAAAGTGTGGTTCTAAAATGTGACACTTTCTTTTTCCTCCTTAAGAATCTGCTCATTATAGAAGTGTAAGTTATTTTTTTATTTTAAAATATCATTCTCTTTTGAGAATTGGTTTATTTGTTTTCATTTTCCTAATAGTAAACATCTAAGGAAAGGATGTATATTTTCACCAGGTTGATATGGGTAAAATTACCTCACTTTTAGTAAAATAGCCACAAAATATTGTATATATGCTACATTTTAGTAAATTGAGTCAGTTTAGATGAAAATACTGGTCCTACTAGTTTATTGTTCAAGTTCTAGAGCAAGGAAACAAAGGGTAAGAATAGAGTTTATTTAAAATAAAATGTAGCTCTTATTTTTTTTTACTCCCTAGTATGTTCAAAGGTTGATTTTTTTATTGTATTTTCATTTTCCAAACTAGCATGTGGCATTATGCATGTTTTAAAACAAAATGTTCATTTTTTTATATTTGGGAAAGTTATTTTTTGTTTATTTTAGCTTTTGAATAGGGAGGGTACTAGTCAGAGGTCCAGTAGGAAGACAAAGGCACCTTCCAATTAGGACAATTTAAGCAAGGCTGTAGAAAGTGACTATTTAAAATGTGGGTGGAGTATAAGAAATCACATGGTATAGTATAGTACCTCTGGTCTGTTACCACTTGGCTAGAGGAAAACAGGGATAGGAAGAAGAAAGACCTGTAGAGGGGACTGCTTTGCCTAGAGACCAAGTCAACCTATTATATCTCTGCAAGAGAGAGCCTAGCCAGGAACACCTTGACCTCACTTTCCTTCCTCACTCTAGAGCATCCAATTCGCAAACGCTAACTAGAAGACAGAAAACAAGAGACCCTACTTATTTAGTACATTTAGGTCAGCCTTCCAAGACAGAGATAAAGGAAGAGGAATGTAGGGAGTGGATCTCACAGGGGCAAAAAGGAGAAATCGAAAACAGTGGGTATGCCCCTCAAAATGGAAAAAAGGTAAGTGTGAGAGTTAGTGCTAAGTTTTTTTCAGCAAATGAAAAAGAGGCTGGGGCAGAAGGTTTGGTCCACAAATTCTTCCTCCTTGTGGAGAGCAAGAAGCTTTGGAATCAGTGGGCAAGGGGCAGGATATGAAGAAATTGAAGGAGTGGTGCTTCTTTGATTCACCTGAATGAACTCTGTCAACTGGCTAAAGATTCTTAGTTTAACTGACACACAGGAAAAAAAAATAATCTTGAACCTAGCAAACATTCTCTATAGCTAATAATAATGATGTTTTAGTAATATCATTACTATTTGCTTGCAGGATTGTATCAGACAATCAACGTTCTTTGGCCTTGGGTGTGACCTATGTGATTTTGAGAATATTTGGTATGGACTTTTGGCAATCTTTTATTACACTGAATTGTTAATTTTTTTTATGTGTGTCTACATGTATATTTGGAATTTCAAATTTATTATTATTTATTTATAATATTTATATTTATATTTATATTATTTATATTATATTTTACAAATATTTACAAATATATTATTATATTTATATTATTATATTATTATATTATATTATTATTATTATTTATAATAATAGTTAACTGACACAAAACAACTGACTGGGGGAGCTGCTTTGCAGAATTTAGGAGATGATATTTATGTTAAAAAGACAATACCTAATGCAAAGCCCATCCTGTCATATAAAATATGTATTAATATTATATTTGATTAGAACAATCTATTTGATTAGAGGTATACGCATCAAGCTCCTAAAAGTGGTTTGGTAAGCTGAAACCAAACATATAACCACAGGATTGCTTGCATGTTTGGAAAGTCAGTAATCTAAACTAGTACTTTTAAACATTTTCATGACCAAAGACTCTGACTCTGACATTTTCATGACCAAAGACTCTGACTCTGACTCTAAATCTTCAAGGATTTATAGCTAAAGAAAAAATTGGTTTTGCTGAGGGTAAAGCACTTTGTACTTCAGGCTTTCTTAATAGCAAAAACTAGCTTTCCAAATCTACTTTATGACTATATCAGCACCCCCAGTTCAAAGTTGATTAAAAATATTAATAGGAAAAAAATATTAATAGGACAAGGAAAAGATTGAACTGGATTGAAGACTGAAAGATATATGATAAATGAAGTCAAGAATATAGAAAAATTAGGGTGCCTGGGTGGCTCAGTGTGTTAAATCTCTGCCTTTGGCTGAGGTCATGATATCAGGATCCTGGGATGGAGCCTGGCATTGGGTTCTCTGCTCAGCAGGGAGCCTGCTTCCCTTCCTCTCTCTCTGCCTGCCTCTCTGCCTTCTTGTGATCTCTGTCAAATAAATGAACAAAATCTTTAAAAAAAAATGTAGAAAAAAAGTATGGTTTTGATGGAGATCAAAGAAATAGTTTTATAACTAGATCAGTATGTGAGGTTAAAATTGCTTTTTTAATCAGGAAAAATTAGAGCATATTCTTGTGTGAATAATGACCCATTAGATAAGGACAGCTTTTTTTTTTTTTTTTTTTTTTAAGATTTTATGTATTTGTTTAAGAGAGAGAGAGAGAGAGAGCATGAGTCAGGGAGAGGGAGAAAGGGAGAGGGAAAAGCAGGCTCCGCAATGAGCAGGGAGCCCAATGCGGGATTCTGTCCTGAGCCGAAGGCAGATGAAGGCAGACACTTATCCTTAACTGACTGAGTTACCCAGGTGCCCAAAGTCAACTTTTTTTTTTTTTTAATTAACATGTAATGTATAATTTGTTTCAGGGGTACAGGTCTGTGAATCATGTCTTACACCTGCCCCGACTCCCCTTGACCCCCCAACAACCTTCAGTTTGTTTTCTGAGATTAAGAGTCTCTTAGGGTTTGTCTTCTCTGGTTTCATCTTGTTTCATTTTTCCTTCCCTTCCCCCCATGACCCTGCCACCCCAAGGACAACTTTTTAATGGGTGAAGGAACAGGAGAAACACCAAGTATATAAATAGTTTCTGCATCAGAAAGGAAGCCAGGGAGACTAATACATTTTTGATGGAAGAGGGTGGAATATGATATTTTAGATACAGACCGACTCTATATCTAATGATTTTGCCAACAGAGAGTTTGAAGCAGAGGACAGAGATTATCTGATTTACATTTAAAAGATAACTCTGCTTCTGAGGGAGAAATACTTACAGAAGATAAATGTGGAGGAAAAAAAGGCTTCTGCTGAAGTCCACATCAGAATTATATTAAATTGGTCTTTGGGGGTTGTAAAAGAGACTTAGAAATCAAGATATGTCTAGAGTTAGTGTCACACAGATTTATTATCATGGGTTGGAAAAATAATGATGAAAAGTAGAAAAAAATGAACAGGAGGCCTAAGCTTTTCATCTTGAGCAATTGTAAACAGTGTTAACGCTCAATGAGATTGGGAAAATTGGTGATGGATAGTGATCTTTGGCAGGAATCAAGAGTCATGAAGCATGAGGGCCCTGAAAGAAGGAAGATGGTTAAGACATGTTAGTTCTGAGATCCTTTTTCTAGTATCTTTGGGGTGGCTTTTTTCCCCCTAAGATTTTATTTTGAAGTCCTCTCTACATCAAACTGGGGCTAGAACTCATAACCCCAAGGTTAAAAGTCTTATGCTTCACCAACTGAGCCAGCCTGGCTCCCCACTGACTTTTAAAAGTGACTTTTAATTCAAGTTTAGCTGAAATTGTTGCTGAGCAGATTTGTCTCTGAGTATATAGAGATTTACCTCAGGCAGCACACAACTGTTCCTCTGGACTAGAGGTTCTCTGAATTTAGGGGGCACTACAAACATACCAAAGCATTTACATTTTCAGTTATTTCTGTCAATATCTTGATAACAGATGTATATTGGATTATGAAACCAAGTTATCACTGAAAATTTCACAATTTGAAATATTTGGAGGTACACTGAGTTCACAAAAATAGTATTTAATATCCCTTTTAAACACTTTCTCCTAAATTTTTAATTGAAAAATTAGAAGTTTTGAGATGTCAACTGCATATGTACACCATTCTAAAAATATGAAAGATATTAATTTTTTATACCTGCAGAGATAAGGATTTTTTTAATAATATAGTCATTGTTTCCAGTTGTTAGTAATTCTATTTGTAAGTAAACTCTTAGCTAGTTTTAAATGCCATATTTAAATGTGATGATGACTAAATGTATGTTTAATTTTAGAATAAAAGCATTCTTATCCCTACCTGTGGTATTTTCAAGGAGAATTTATAATTATTGCATTTTTCATAGCGACGATACCTGGACCAATACTTTTTAAACTGGCAGGAGACTCTTCTTGTCTATTTCGGGAGACTGAACACTGTAAAAGGAAAGGAAATTGTTGGAGCTATGATAAGAAAAAAATGGCCTACCTTATGGTAGGAATATGTAAGTAATACCTATTGAAGAAATATAGGAAAGTGTAATTATTTTAAAAATGTATAGTTGTTTATAGTAATGTACAGTAATAAACTGAACAAATGGTTACTTTGATGTAAGTATGTAATAAGAAGACATATATAAGAAGTCTTATATAGATAATATTTTAGAAACTAAAGTTCTATAGTATTTGTGTGAATATTTGAGTCACTCCACTGTACACAATAGTTTTATGTTACTCCTGAATAAAGGGTGGTAATTAGCAAAATTTCAATTTAGGAAACAATTTTGTCCATATACATATACAACCAAGTTGATTGACCTTGTGACCATTTCCATTTCCATAGTAAAGGGTTGATAATTAAAAATTATTTTTCACACTCTTAAAGAACATCAAGATATTTTATACTAATTACATGTAAGTTTCACTGTTTCTTTTGCTCAGTGTCATAACAATCCACATAGCAAGCATTCGTTATTTGTTGAATAAATAAGAGATATGGAGAATTGGGATGCTATGGTAGTATGGGCTATGGCCAGTGTTGAGAAAGTCCAGATATGCTTGTATTACTTTGGAAAGCTCACTAACTCTTCCTGGATCTCAATTTATTCATCTGTAAAATGAGGATGTTGGACTACATAATTTCTGAAATCTTGGTCACTGCTAACATTCAGTGATTTTGTTGCATAGATGTCGTTGGTGTGATAAATACTTAGAAGTGTTTATATGTTTTGTGATTTTAATGAGTGGGTTCATGAACTCAAAGAAACACGTAATAATAGACTCTACTATTTAACAGTAACAGATACCTCTGTGATAAAGTATACAGTGTGCCTTGTAATTCAAAAGTCAGTTATCCAGCAAGCTTAGTCTACATTAAGCACTAAGTAAAATTTTAAAAAACAGTTAAAAAATTAAAAAATGGGGAGCCTGGGTGGCTCAGTGGGTTAAAGCCTCTGCCTTCAGCTCAGGTCATGATCCCAAGGTCCTGGGATGGAGCCCGCATCGGGCTCTCTGCTCAGCAGGGAGCCTGTTTTCTCCCCTCCTCACCCCCTCCCCCCACCAAGGCTTCTCTGTCTACTTGTGATCTCTATCTGTCAAATAAATAAAAAACCTTTTAAAAAAAGATAAAAAATGACATTTAAGTAGTTAAAATTTATCAGAGATAATTGTACAAAACTAGGCATTGTTCATAATTAAGTCCTCTTAAGACACTGCTGAGCCTTTTAATTTTTATTTAGATATAACTGTAGCAAACTTATTTATTTTCAAACAGCACATAATTGAGAAAGCTGGTGAACTGCTAGAGAACCTGCCAAGGAGCTATTAACAGGAGGTGATAATAATAAAGAAATAGGGAATTAAGTCACAAAGGACAAACACGGGAAACTACAATAGGAATATGCTTTTGTGGCAATTTAGTGTCAACTAGTCCATTTTGAGGAAATGAAATAATTAAAAGATAGGACTGTATCTTTAAGAAATCTAAAAGTTTTTATAAACATTAAAAAAGTCTCCTTTAAATAACTTGACATGCGTTTATGACATTAATTACATTTTACAATTGGAAAATTGATCTTTTATGGAGATGAAATATACTTGCTTTTTCTTTGGTATTTGGCATTTTTTCCACAAATATTTTCACTCTAAGTAGATTGATACATCTGATGCTTGTATTTTTTTAAATTTAGGTTCTGTTTGCAAAGTATTCGCTATCTTCTTCACTGCTATTGCATATTGCCTGTATAAATATATATCAAAGAGAGACGGTGACAGCCTGCATATACCTGTAAAGAGTCTAAAAGTAAAAAAAAAGGGAAAGAAGTGATTTATAATTGGATCATCGATGTGGAAGAATTATACACTGTCAGTCCATCAATGTAATGCTATATTAATAAAATTCGAAATAATTACAATATAGTTACATGTTTAATAAATGAATGTGATTCATGTGACCCCTTAAGTTTTATTATAATTTGAGTACAAATATAATAACATAGTCTCTGTGTTTTAGATTTTTAAAAGATACTGTAAAATACACATTTAATGCTTTCAATAGAGAATACTTTGAAAGAAGAACATGAAGCAGAAGTGGGAAAATACATGTAAGTTAATTCTGACTACAGTGATATCCTTATGTATTAGTTATTAGACTTTGTTGATGTAGGACTACTTAGGTTTCATATAGTTTATTCTTATTACTTTTCATTTGGGCTGTGGATTTTTGTTTTTCTATAATTTTTCAAAATAACATTAGATTTGTCAATCCAGTTAATATAATAAAAATTTAAATTAATGTCATGATTTTTAACCAAAAGAAGCTTGTTTTAAACATTATAAAAAATGTCATTTTATTTATCTTTTATTTCACCACAGAGAGTTTTCTTCAAAAACTCTCTGTGGTCAGTTGGCTAATTTGCAATATACATTTTTATGTTCCTTTAATTTTATTAGACACAAAATTCAGTATGATCATATATTTTTACTTTGGCCTTAATTTTGTTGATAATGACTGTCTGATACCTGAACTGGTTTTCATTTTTGTGCTTTTATATTTCATTGTATGATAATTATAATTGTTCCATGTGAGATTATATTCAAATTTCAATGTAGGAAATGTGTCAACATTTTTGGAATTTTTCTTAACCTTAAATATGTTCCTCTAGAGAGTTTTTCTTATAATTACTTCGTATATTGTACATCCATCCAAATTATATAGCAATCTTCTAAATATTGGAGTAAAAATCAAATTTTTATAAAACAAAAACTTCTTTACATTGTTTCCATTGTTTTGTTGGAAGAAGAAACAACTGACAAAATTTCTCCTTTATTATACATATTAGCCAATGACCCTGTTTTAAGGGTAGACATTGTCCTATTCTTTACTTTGTTTCCCTTTCTCCAAATTTTAATTTAAATTCCAGGTAGTTAACATACAGTGTAATATTGGTTTCAGGTGTAGAATTTAGTGATTTCTCACTTACATACAACACCCAGCGCTCATCACAAGTGCCCTCCTTAATCCCCATCACCTATTTAAACCATCCCACCTGCACCACCACCCCCACCCCCAGCAACCTTCGGTTTGTTGTCCATAGTTAAGATTGTTTCTTGGTTTGCCTCTCTGCCCCCACCCCCCCGCCCATGCTCATTTGTTTGGTATCTTGAATTCCACATATGAGTGAAATCATTTGGTATTTGTCTTTCTCTAAGTTATTTAGCTTAGCATAATACTTTCCAGCTCCTTCTACATCACTGCAAATGGCCTATTCACGGTATTGGCTGGCAGAAGGAAATGTGAAGCGTAAGTATTCATATTTTATTATATATCATTCTTCCTTAACTTCAACATGCATTTATGAAAACCTATATACTAGACTTTATGTGAAATTCTACTTGACTGCTTGACTCACTCTTCTCTTTGGACCAGTAGGATTGGAGAATATCTGTGGATCAGAGTGTGAAACAGGAGTTTCTCCTTTAAAGATTCTACAAGGTCTGTTGCTGTGCCCTATATTCAGAAAAGAAAAATCACACATGATGTTTACATAAGTAGTAGAAATGTATCTATAGTGATCTGTATTTTCATAATAGAATACCTTCTTATGAAACATGTCTCATGTTTTTAAACTGCATGGGAATTGAGAGGCAAGGTGGGGAGTTGTGGGGAGTAGGGAAGGAACAAATGAAACAAGATGGGATCTGGAAGGAGACAAACCATAAGAGACTCTTAATCTCACAAAACAAACTGAGGGTTTTTTTGGGGGGGGTAGGAGGGTGGGGATAGGGTGGTTGGGTTATGGACATTGGGGAGGGTATGTGCTGTGGTGAGTGCTGTGAAATGTGTAAGCCTGATGATTCACAGACCTGTACCCCTGGGGCAAATAATACATTATATGTTAATAAAAATAATTAAAAAAAAGTGTATGGGATTTTAGACATCAGTGTATAACATAGGTTTTTCTAGGAAAATTAAAGTTTTAATAGTTTTAGTTTATTCATTTCCTTAATATTTTTCTGTCTAAAGATATTATCTGGAAATTTATACAACCAGGAAATAAAGGTAAAACAATAACACTTAGATCCATTTTGAAGGTGCTTGATGCCTGTGTGTGTGGATGTGTATATATTATCTATAGATCTGTCCTGTTTTCAAAAAAAAGAAATCAAATGTAAAACAAAATTACAGTAATTTGGGGAGTAGTGTTAAGACTTTAAATTTGATGATAGCTTTGATACAAAAGACCATTTGTTTCTGTCACAAATTAGGGTGTAGTAGATGGCTAAAGAGGAAAATGATAGAAGTATAACCCAGAAGTTTCATTGGTTAGCACCAAGTTAGCAGCTTTTGAAACAACCAGGGGAATCTTTCTTACTGTTACACAAGACCTCAACAAGAAATGAAATCTTAAGAAAAAAAACGGCTAAAAATCCTACAGTAGTACCTTCCTCTGGAATCAGTTTTGATTAGTTTGATGCTATGGAGAATCATTATGCTTTTTACAATGTTACCGTATCCAGTGAGGCTGCAAGTGCTGGTGAAGAAGCTGCAAAGATATTTCTAAATATTTTTATTTCTGATAAGACTGACTTCTGTTGGGAATAGGTGTCCTCAAGATCTATCTCAGTGGAAGAAGGTGAGCCCCAGGGTTTAAACATATGAAAGATAACTCTGCTACTGGGTAAAAACCCAGCTGGTACTGTACTGGGTGAAAACCGAACCTGTATTTAGCTATACGAAAATGTACTAAGATTGTGGTTGTTTTTGTTGGAACTCAGTTACAAAGTTGCAGTGGTTTACCTCTACATTGTTTTCTCCAGAAGCCTAGTTATTTCTGGTGTTTGATTTTGCCCAAGGGGATGTTTTAAAGGAATGCACATGTTATTATAGCAGAAATGTTTATATTTTTATTTTTATTATTTATTTATTTATTTATTTATTTTTAAAGATTTTATTTATTTATTTGACAGAGAGAGAGAGAGATCACAAGTAGGCAGAGAGGCAGACAGAGAGAGAGGGGCAAACAGGCTCCCTGCTGAGCAGAGAGCCCAATGCAGGGCTCGATCCTAGGACCCTGAGGTCATGACCTGAGCCGAAGGCAGAGGCTTTAATCCACTGAGCCACTCAGGCGCCCCAGAAATGTTTATATTTTTAGCATTGAGAGTTTCGAATTGCATGTTCTCCAAAATCTTAGGATAATTGCCATGAAAATCCTAGTTCCTCAGTGTTTTTGAAAATTAATTCTTATGAATATTGGATTACAGATTTCCTGTTTTAACATGTGGCATTCAATTTTCCATACATAGTCTAGAAAAAATCAAGTTTTGATGTATTAGTGTCATATTTCCCTTCTCAGCACTAAGAGTTTATTTTCATTTTCCCCAAGCTTTGTTAATATACAGTTGTATATATAGTATATAATTCATTACAACACTATAGAAGTTTAATGTATACAGCATGGGGCGCCTGGGTCGCTCATCAGGTTAAGTCTCTGCCTTCTGCCTCTGCTCAGGTCATGATCTCAGGGTCCTGGGATGAGCCCCTGCATTGGGCTTCCTGTTGAGCAGAGAACCTGCTTCCCCCACTCTCTGCCTGCCTCTCTGCCTACTTGTGATCTCTCTCTGTCAAATAAATAATAAATAAAATCTTGAAAAAAAAGCTATACAGCATAATGACTTGATTTACATATGTTGTGAAATGGTTATCAAAGTAAGTTAGGTAACATCCATCATATATAAATACAAAAAAGAAAGAAAGCAAACCAGTGTTTTTTGGCTCATGAGAACTCTTAGTATCTCCCTCTTAACTTTCAAATATTCTGCAAGCAGTGTTAACTGCTGTCATCATGTTGCACATTATATCTCCAGTCTCCAGTACTTATTTATCTTACAACTGGAAGTTTGCATATTTGACCCACCTTTGTCAGATTCCACCCCCTCACCCAAACCTCTGCTTCTGGTAAGCACAAATCTAATCTCTCCTTCTATGTTTTGTTTGTTTGTTTTATATCCCACATATAAGTGAGATCATAAAGAATTTGTCTTTCTCAGGGGTGCCTGGGTAGCTCAGTCGGTTGAGTGGCTGACTCTTGGTTTTGGCTCAGATCATGATCTCAAGGTTCTGGGATCAAGATCCACATCAGGCTCTGTGCTGAGTGTGGAATCAGCTTGAGATTCTTTCTCCCTCATTCTCCCTCTCCTTCTGCCCCTGCTCTCTCTCTCTAATATGAATAAATGAAATCTTTTTAAAAAAAGCATTTGTCAAAAGATGGGCAGAAGACATGAACAGACACTTCTCCAGTGAAGACATACAAATGGCTAACAGACACATGAAAAAATATTCATCATCACTAGCCATCAAGGAGATTCAAATCAAAACCACATTGAGATTCCATCTTATACCAGTCAGAATGGCCAAAATTAGCAAGACAGGAAACAACATGTGTTGGAGAGGATGTGGAGAAAGGGGAAACCTCTTACACTGTTGGTGGGAATGCAAGTTAGTGCAGCCACTTTGGAAAATAGTGTGGAGATTCCTTACGAAATTAAAAATAGAGCTTCCCTATGACCCTGCAATTGCCCTACTGGGTATTTACCCCAAAGATACAGATGTAGTGAACAGAAGGGCCCTCTGTACCCCAATGTTCATAGCAGCAATGGCCACGATTGCCAAACTGTGGAAAGAACCAAGATGCCCTTCAACAGACGAATGGATAAGGAAGATATGGTCCATATACACTATGGAGTATTATGCCTCCATCAGAAAGGATGAATACCCAAATTTGTATCAACATGGACGGGACTGGAAGAGATTATGCTGAGTGAAATAAGTCAAGCAGAGAGAGTCAATTATCATATGGTTTTACTTATTTGTGGAGCATAAGAAATAACACGGAGTACATGGGAAGATGGAGAGGAGAAGGGA